AATCTAGGCGATCAATCATGTTGAAGCAAATGAAAAAGAAGGAGTGGACAAGAAACCAAAGCTTTCTCAAAAGATCATGATCTGGTTAGGCGCCTATTTCAAAGGGGTGGCACCGGTAGTCATTTGCAACTAAGGGACAGTAGATCATGCTCAATACATCCAAAATGTCCTTCCAATAGTGCTAAAATATGGAAATAAAGCCTTCGGTGACTCCTCCAGAAATGCAATAAAACCGTAGTTCATATATTAGAATAAGACGTTATTGATATACAGTTTTTGATGGTTCCTGACTCGCGTCTGTTCCGATTCATGATAGTCTCTGACCAGTGTATATCACGATCTGTGGAGGGAGGAGAACTGGATCCGAATGTCTGCCCTATATACTTCACATTCCTTTTAGATCGTATTTCACAAAAAATAAGCCTGAATAGATGAATATTAGCAGAGATATCATGAAAATACAGAGAGGTATATTCTTTCTGAGACATTTGTTTGTTTTGTTTTTTTAATTCTAACTTGTAAATCATCTTGATCTTGAGAATTAATATCCATTGAACAAAATTGTTCTTCAAGAGCATTTATTTGTTGTTGAACATCTTTACATAATTCAATTCGACGTTTTTCTTCATCTTTTTTATGACGAAGTTCATCACGAATTTTGTCAATTAAATCATCACTTTGTTCAGATATGGCATTGATTTCTTTGGTTAATTTATTTTTTAAATCAAATGATTCTTTATACTAAATAGAAATTTATAAAAAAAATAAAATAAAATTACAGAATAAATCCAATTGAAAAATATTTCTAACTATGACTTTTCCTTGATTAAAATAGCATAAAAATTCTTTTCTCTATTTACTATAATTAGAAAGTGAATCTCATCTTTCTTTCACAATAATTTACTGAAAAATATTAGTTACGAGATTATAATTGTTATGTTATGATTATTTATTTATAATGATTAAAGTTTTTAATAATAGGTGTATTAAATTTGCTTCTACATGTTTATAGATATTGAATAAGTCTATACCATTGATATATTCATTTCATTTTGATGATTATTATATGTATTAAAATTTTTCCATAAAAATCTTAATAAAAAAAATTAACTACTAAAACTTTCAACTTAAGTGCAAACATATTAGAAGCACAAAAATCTACACGCTATCTTTGAACACACTAGTAAAAACTTAAAAAAGAAATCTTTTTGAGTTCTGTAAGATAAACAATATTTTAGCATTGAAAACACGAGTGTATTTTAGCGTTCGATGCGACACTTTATAGAGTTTTACATTAAACCATCAAAGATTCATGTCGAACTTAAATAGTTTCGCATTTTTTATACATAAATTTTTCCTCGTCCTGCAGATCTTAAAACTGTTCTTTTGATGTGACCCGGGAAAGCACGAATTTAAATTTTGCAATTTGCTCTAATTGATTCCATTGTCTGATGATGAAAGTTCCACAACTGATATATAGCTTTCGGATCGACAATATGTGTATTACGTAGAATCAAATGAGCTTAAAATATCCTCAAAAGAGTTTTGACCCTTAGCTTATTGTTGCATAGATACTACAAGTTCACAGCAGTTTTTAAATGAATGCTGCTGTGGTTCTCTTCAGGAACACCAGGAAAACTGATTTTTGTATTTCGACTTCAAACTTTGTACAAAGACTGGTCTTAATGAGAATAGTTTGTTGTGAAACTTTCAAATCTTTTGATTTACTTCTATACTGAAATAAGAACATCAATCTATCACTGTGTATATGAGCAATACAAAACACACACTTGTATCATAATTGTATCTTAACATAGGAAACACGACAAGATCTGAAACATTCACAAGAAACTAATCTCGATGAGATCAGACTCTATAGAAAGTTTCAAATCGACGTTCGAAAATCAGTTTTCTTGATGTTTCTGAAGAAGACCGCGGTATTGATTTAAAAACTATCGTAAAAGTTCAGTATCGTGGTAGCAATAAGCTAATAGCCTGGCCTGTGTTAAACGCATGTATAGTTCATTTGGTTCTACATAATACCTGTAGTCTCGATTCAAAAGCGATCTATCAGTTGGGAGATTTTTCTCATGAATAAAATTGATGCTATTATAATGAAATCATTGAATAATTTCTAAAATAAGTTTTTCGAAAGAATTTAGTATTTTTAAATCTTACTTTAGACTTAAATGTTGTTTGAGCTTTGTCTAATTCAGTTTTTGCCTTGTCAATTTGATCTTGTACTGGTTGTAATCGATGATTAATTTCATCGACTTTTTTCTTACAAACATCAAATGCTTTTGTAATATTTTCATGTTCAATTGCTTTTTCTCCATAATCCTACTCATCAAAAGGAAAAAAACCGTGAAAATTTTATATATATATATATAATATTAATATGTAATAAAATTATACACGAAAATATTTGCATTGTGTATATTCAACAATTTTAGCTTCAAGATCTTTTCGACCTTGTATTGCTTGAACATCTGGTTCAAGATGTTTTAATATTTGTTTACATGTTGCTGCTTGATTAAGTGCTTCATTTAAATCAATTTCAAGATTACGTGTTTCTTGTCCTAATGTTTTTAATGATTTATGAAGTAAATAAAGATCTTCTCCACCAATCTATTGATATATTTAAAACAAAAAAAAAGAAATTAAATATTCAAAACAAACAAATACGAACACATTTTTCAGTATTTTCAAGTAAATCACATTTTGACATATTTGTAAATTCTGCTACTTTTTCTTGTGGTAAAAATTGACATAGATTATCAACTTGTATATGAAGTTTTTTCATTAGTTCTTTGATCTATTGTAAAAAAAAAACAAAAGCAAAAGTTACTAATTAATTTCGTTTTTTTTCTTTGACAAAAACAAAAAATTTCTTACAGCTGCTTCTGTAGTTTGTTTTCCATTAAGTGTCCATTTACTGGCATTATGTACATGAAGTGTTCGATTTATAATCCAATTCGAACCTTTCTCAGCATTAAATCTTTTTTTTCAAAAGAAAAATTATAGATCTAATTTAAAGTTTTTGCTTAACTTACAATTCAATTTCAATCATGCCTTTTTCATGACCTGTTTTAACATAATCACCAATATTACCAGCTCGACCAATAACTCTTGGATGACCAGCTAGACCAAGACAAATAGCACATACAATAGATGATTTTCTTTAATCAAAAAAAAAAAAGAAAAAAATTATATTTATTTGAAAAAAATTGTTTTTGTTTTTAAAACATACCCACTACCATTTGGTCCAATAATAACATTAAGACGTGATCCAGGATAAAGTTCAACTTCTTTATATGTCCTAAAGATAATATTGATTGAAAAAAATAAAATTATTATGAAATAAAATATTTTACATGAAATGTTCTAAATGTATTCGTACAATAGCACCATGAGCATGTTTATGACTTGTACTTTGTGTCATGGTTGTTGTTGTTGTTGTTGACAATGAATCATTTAGATTCGATTGATTTTGTGATTGAACTAATGTCATCTAAAATTATAATAATTGAAAAATAAAATCGAATATAAATACGAATGTCATTCTTAGAACGAAAAAAAAAACATAAAACAAGTAACAGTTATTTATCATTGATTTATATTATATGAGAAAATATCGTTCGATTTGTATCAATAAAGATAGTGTGAGCTTTCTCTTTGAAATGATCTGTACTTCGTCTACAAAAGTTAAGAGAAATTGCACAATAAAATAAAGAACTACTTGAAAAGAATCATTGTACTAAGAATAAAACAGAACTGACCCTAACAGAACCAAAACACTCATGTATATATTGCACATGGAAACCGAGAGAAGAAGAAGAAAAAAGAATGTTATTGCAGATAACATACTTTCAAAAGCAAGTGTAATAAAAGAAGAAACCGAGAACGATATGATCGTTGACAGATAGTCTCAATTTCAAATGGTGAATAGTTTCACTTGATAAGAAAGAAATTCTTTATTTAAATTATAAATTATGAAGACATCCATCTGATTGATGTTCTAATTTTAATTACATATTTAGCTCGTAGTATAGATAAAATAAATACATTTTCATACATTCAAATTTGTTTGTTAAAGTCATTGTATATTGGATAGATACGCACCAAAGTCAAACGTTTCAAGTTAGGTCTTGACTGCGATCATTTTCAATTAATTAATAAAAGGAAATACAAAGTAATACAAAACAAAAAATTTCAGACGTAGCTAGAGTAGACTTAAACACACTGGATTAAATTATCCAAAAATCGAATGTCTGCAGACATCCGAACTTGAACCTTAGGATGCTTCCTATATACCTCAAGAAACGCTTGGATAATTATTCAAATATCTGACACTGTCTAAATTGACTGGATAGTTTTCGAACTTGAATATCGAACCAGAGTTTCGATTCAGTGCATGCTAAACATTTGATATGATTTGCTATACAAATATGGATCATACACAAAAGTATGATCAAGAAAAATTTTAAATATTAATAAAACATTAACTCAAACATAATGGTTATTCCTATAACAAGTAAACTATGTATACAATAAATTTATCAAAATGTTCCTTAATTCAAATATGAAAAAAGAAACAGGCACATTCACAATGCTATAGCTTAAAAAAACAGTATTCTAAACTTATTTCTTCGAAATAAAATATGAATTTAAAAAGAAAGTATCAATGAGACAGATTTCCTTTTTAAACACAAACCAACACTCGAATTATATTGAAAACGAAAATACCAAAAAATAGAAAGAAAGAAAGATTCAATCTCAAGTTATGTTTCCGTTTATTACAACTTATGAAAAAATCTCAACGTTGTTTAAAATTGTTTTTAATGGAATAATAAAAACTTTGATATCATGAAACAAGACTATGATATGACATTTAATAAAGCAGAAAAAAAAGACAACAAATCTTTACATTGATATAATATAAGTAGACAAAACGATGACAATTTATACAAAGAAGAAAAACAAAAAGTAGTTATTTCATTTTATGGTGATCGTTCACGGCGTCGATGATGCCGTGATTCTTCATCATCACTATGTTCATTTCGATGTTTTTTTGAACTAAATAGAAAAAAACAAAAATAACAAATAGAATAGAAAAACAAATGATTTTTATAAATGAATAAAACTTACTGTTTATGACTACTACGTTCTTTAGTAATTTCTGGTGATGATTTACGTTTTTTTTCATCATGAGATTTATGACGATGACGATCTTCTTTATCTTTCTTTTTTTCTTTATCCTTTGTTGGTTGTTCACGTTCTTCAACTTCGTCTACTTCTTCTACTTCTGGTACAATTCTATTTTAAAAGAAAATCAATATGAAAAAAAAAAAAAAATTTGATAGAAAATGAAGAAATTTTCTTGCTTACGTATATTGTTTATTAGCTACTTCAATTTTACGTCGTTCAGCTTCTTTTACTTCTTCAGCTTTTTTTTCATTAATCTTCTTTTTATCAAATTCCCCAATACCAAATGCTTCACGTAATCTTCGATTTTTTTCATCATTTGCTTGTGCTAATTGATGAGTTTCTTTTGCACTAAAATATTTTGAAAAAAAAGTTAGTTCAAATATTCTATTCTTCAATAATTTAGTGGCGATCGTAGCAAGTAGAATAGGCAACAGATACAGTAATCAATGTATAGATTTAGAACAATGTCTCGATTCGTTAGAGTTTTATTATATTCAATCAATTAACCTGGATAAAATTGAAGCGTTATGGGTCAACATATGCAATAGAAAATTCGAAATTTCATTTAAATGGAAAAAGAAATCTTAGCCTATAGAAGGAATATCCTATTAAAGTTTTGTTGGATATATATCTATTCTTGAAAAATATGTACAATGATACGTCTCTAACTATTGTGTTTGTTTAATAATTGATTATAACATGTTAGATTTGCATATTTTTGGGATACATCTTAAATTCAGATCTACAAATCCTACTTATGTATTTCAGCTTTCTACTCACGAACGAACTATTCGAACGAATAAACGATGTTTGAGCTCATATTAGGTCTCAGTAAGAAGACTAAAAAAATCCTAAAAGCTTCCGTGCCCATGAACCTCTATAGCCGAGTTCTGATTGTTTTACTGAATTTTCAATTCAGCTTCAGGTATTTACTGAAAAATCAAATAACTGCATTTGATCTATTGATGGACGAAATTTCAGTGAACATCATAACTCAACTACAGAGGTCTATGGGATCGAATTTTTTTAAGATTTTTCTAGTCTTACCTAGGTCTCCTTGTGACTCTAATATAAACTCAAACCGAGTATTTTTTTCTTTTAGGATTGTTACTATCTTTTCATGTTTCTGTATGTTCTGCTAAAGTCTGGCCACCGTCAGTGATCGCAAAAAAAAAAATAAAAATTCAACTTACACAGGACGTCCATATTCATCATATTCAACTTCAGTTTTGTCATAAAGACCTTCACGTTCAATAAGCATTTTACGAAATTTTTGTACTTTTTGATTTGTTACTTCTTCATCATATCTTTAATAAAAAAAAAACAAAACAATTATTTAATTTAATTTAATAAGAAAAAAAAATCAAAACAAACCCATTGTTTAACATCATATCACGCATTTCCATACATTTAACTTCAATTCGACGTTTTTTTTCATGTTCAAGAATTTCTGCATTACCTTTTTTTTCAATTAAAGTTTCAAGTTTCTTTATCTCAGCATCTTTAACATATTCAACACGTTCACGTTTTGTTGGAACAAAAGATAAATTTTTTTGAACATAACCATTTGTACCTGTACCACGTGGTGTTGTTATACCAATACCGTTATACATAATTATTTATTTATTTATTTATCTGAAAATGAAAGAGAAAAAGAAAGAAAACAAAACAAGAATAACAATGAATTTAATTAGATTTTTTATTTTTTAATTTATCAAGATCACGCTTTTGTATAGATCGTAATTGTTTCTTTTTCATTCGTTTGATTTTAGTCGGATTCTTAATCTGAAATTGAAGAAAAAACATTAAAAAATGTTGTTTTTTTCAATTAATGAGAACAAAAAAGTTTTACGTACAACTTGAACGACTTCACCTTTACGTTCATTAATAAGTCGACGTTCTTTATTTTCTTTTTGTCGTTGTTTTAATTTCTATATTAGAAAATGATTAAGAAATAAACAAAAAAGAAAAGAATAAGAAGTTTTCTTTTACATCACGTTTTTCGTTAACAACATCCCACATTTGTTTTTCACGAGTACGAGTTTCATTTAAATCAGTTTTCATTTTTATTCGATCTTCATATGAAAGTTTAATAGATTTTGGTCGCGAAATAGCAGAAAATCTAATTTTACAAGAAGTTTTTTTTTTTTAGAAAAATTAACTTTCAAATTTTTGTATGATTTATTTTACCTTCCTTTATTCATCTTCCAAGTTCGACCACTTTTAGGTTTACCTTTTGGAATAGAATTCAATCGTTGTTTTTCTTGTTTTGTTGATGTTTCTGCATCCATCTTAAATCATAAAAACAAAAAAAAAACGAAACCTACTATTTCTTTCTATGTAATGCTAATGATTACAGTAATCAATATTTTTCTTCACATGAGATTTATTATAAAATCTGTACACATGAAATATTTACGCAAGTTTGTTTATATGTCTATTTGTCTGTCTTGGTGAGTATTCTTCTAGAAGCAATACATTTACAACCAATAACAAATGATCATTTATAAAAGATTAATAGAGGGCGTCGTGTTCTTGGTAAGCTATAATAGATTACGAAGTTTCAATCTTCAATGAAAATACTAGCAATTTAGAATTTTTTTCGTTCTGCTAAATACAAGTAGGTGTGAGAGGCGGACTTCACCTACACCACAACTAGATTCCAAACATATTCATTTTCCACATGTCCACACTGGCTCACTCTCAAAAGAGATACAATTTTTGTCTAATATGAATATTATTGAACAATGTACTATTTAAAGTATCTATGGCTATTTAAGCTTATGATAGCTATTTAAGTTTTGTATAGCTATTTAAGTTCTCTACAGCTATTTAACTTTTGCATAGCTAT